TACATTATCTTGTGGTGGAGTGTCATTTGAGTTTAGTTTTGTAGCTAGCTTTTTGTTTTCCGCTAATCTGAGCGTCAAGTAGTATTTAAAAATTGAGCTGAAAAATTTTTTAAAAATCCTGCAAGTAAAATGCGTGCAACTAAAACAAATGCGTGCAAACAAAATGCGTGCTTGTCTTCTGACTTGTGTATGTAATACACATATGTGTTATAGACTCCTTTTAGTAGTGAAAAGAGAAAATCAAAAAAAAAACATTGTGAATAAAATAGTCAATCTTTCTAATGTATAGTGAGGCCATCCTAGAAAAGAATGGAGTTCGTTTTTGATATTTATATACCTAAAACCATTAATTGGTGAAATACCTTGCTAGCGGTATTTTTTACCGTTAAAATGTATATTTTTATATAATCTTTAACATCTTTAAGGCGTCCGCGATAGTCTTGTCTGTAAATATCTGAGAAACCTGATAGTTTAGCTAGTTTTTGTAAATTTTGGTCGATTCATTGTCTTCTTGGAGTTCTTGAAATTGTTGTGTTCGAAAGTGATGTTGTATGTCCGACTTAGAGTAAATGCCTTTTGATTGTAGGTCTAGGTTCGGGTTACAAACAATTGCGCGTATACTTTCGGGTAAAATTTTTTTTAAAGGTGACATCAGTGTAGGATATGGGTTGAGATAATATTTTTCTTCGTTTGGATTCAGCTTTACTACGTTGTGGCTACTTTCAGATCCATTTGGAACAGCTGTATCCCAAAAATATGTGCGCGGTAATAGTGTATCCAAAAATTGTATTTTTTTCATAAAATATAGGGCTTTGTTGGTAACAGATTTTGTCTTCAAAAACAAAAGTGGTTAAATTTTTTTAGTGTGTGTCTCCAAAAAAAGTTTCCTTCATAGTCAATGAGTTTAATGCGGTTGCCTGACTATAGATGCCCTGCCTAGGGTATTTTAAGTACTGCTAAGGCAAGCGATTGTAGTATTTGTGTCCTTTTGAGGTCACATAAGTGATGCATCGATAATTTATTTGTCTGTTTTCATGTAAAAACCATTGTCGTATCCGACAAGAGCTTCTGAAAATTGCGTTTTGAAAGGTGGTTTGGGATAAACTACTTCCGTTTCAGGGTAAATTTTAAAACGTTTATTCTCTATACGACTGGTATATCTATATTTCTGTTGGTTTGATCTAATTCGCTTAAGATTAATTTTGTCGAAAGGTAGAGATCCTATAAAGTACTTGTGGTGAAATTTTATTATTCTTGCGTGAATGTTAGCGACTTGAAAAAGAGTACATGTGTTTTAAGGAAGCCAAAGAATGGTTGCCTGTATTCGTGTAGTGGGGTTACCATATCCCTGATCATTTTTGCAAGATAAGCGTATTCCTTGATACACTATGGCATCACTTTTTAAATCTCGTGTTAGTTGTACTTCTTCCAATTAAATTTTCCAATCAGAAAACATTTTTTCTTGGTAGCCTTTTTTGGTGCCGGCTTTACAAATTGGCGGGTTATTGATTCCCATGTGTGTTATCCAGTTTTCCTCGTGTAAATCATAGGTAAAACAAGATAAGGGAATTTATTGTCTAGCTGTATATGACCTTGATGGTATTCAAATTGTGCTTCCTGTGCACTATGGGAAAATTTAAAACATTTACCGATTTGTGACTATTTTTAATCGTTGTATTTCTTTTTTGCAATCTTCAGGGTTAAGATGAAGAAATCTTTCGATATCACTTTGATAAAAGGATTCATGGTCGAGACTAATTTTTTGCTGTTTGAAATTTATGAACAATGTACTTTCCTTTCTGAGAATTTTGCGGTAAATTTATATCCTCATAGAATTGTAGCTCGGGCTTTAGAGGAAAAAGGAGCTATTATAGTTCTTAATTCAATGTCTTGTGCTTTAGATTCGCATTAGTTTACTTGATTAATTGCGTATTTATGTAGCGTTTTTTGTTGGTTTACTTCACATTCATAATGTGTAACAAAGAAGTTTTGTGGTCCGGTTTGGAGGAGAGGTTTGGGTGAGGTATGCGATCTAGAAGTACAAGAGGGGAAAGGGTTTTGGTTAGAAAAACTATTAAGAGATACATGTGTATGATAATCCCAAAAACGGATTATAGAATGTTATATAGCCTTCTGTCTTTTTTGTATATCTATAGTACTTGTACATAATTTCCGTAGGAATAAACAGAGGGGGCAAAGATTGTGCTGTTATATTTGGTGGAGATAGTGGTAATGGATGATGTACTAAGTTAATTGATTTTACTGTTATTTCGAATGTAAGTGCAAAGTTACATTGGGTAAGTATTTGGACACTGTGTCCTTGTGAATATCGTGTCTATATTGTAGTCTGTTGAGTGCCCAATTTACTAGTCGATTGCTATTGAGGTGTTGGCTAAGAAGGGGAGGGTGTGCTACAAAAGAATTCCAATGCAAGCGTAAGGGTGTATTTGTACTTTGTAATTTACGATATCTATCGTCTAGTTGACTTGGAAACTTGTAGGAAAGGTAGTTGACGGTGTTTGACTTGTGACGGAAGGTGTTGTCGGAAGTGAGAGAGATTCTGGCAATGATAAAAAATTGTCTGATGAAATGTCTACCAGATCGTTTATCAAGTTTGGTTCACCTTGGGAAAATGTTTGTGTCACCCAATGTGGAATTCTTTGCGATGAAGTAAGGGATTTAAAGGGATTTCCATGAAATTGTTCAGAAGTGGGTTTTGAACCTAAGTAATCTGGTAGAAAAGTTGCGGTATTTTGTAGGGAAATAATTGTTTGAATTGATGGAGATTTGCTTTCCTTTGTGTTACTAGAAAGATCTAAAGAGGTCGATGATGGTGATGAGCATATGCTAAAATGAACTCTCGGTGTTGTAAGGCTTTGGTTTTGTCGGGGGTGAATACTTTGTCTATCTTTTGTAGTTGTTTAATTTTGGTTTTGGTTTGGATGTCTGGTTATATTAGGGTCTTGTTGAAGTGGGGGGTAGATGCTATATGTTGGCTCGTATTGTGGTTCACTTAGGGGTGCTTGACGAATGGCTGGTTTTAACGGTTCGGATAGTGATGTGTGTCTTTCTTCAATTGTATAAGGATTTTCTACGAACCAGATTTGTGTAGATGATTGGGGTTGGTTTTTTTGGCTAGATGTCGGTGTTGTCGGGGGGTCTTGGGAAGTAGTGGTTGGTGATGATTCTTTAAGGGGATATGGATTAGCAATTTTCAATTATATCTTATTTGTTATTTTTTATTTAGGTCTTTATAGTCCATTGTTGCTAATGCAAAGGCAATTATTGCCATTTTTATGCATTTAGGCAGTGTTCAAATTAGAGAAATGAGAAAAATTTGAAAAATTACGAGGAGAATAAAAATATTTTTTATCCGTAGTTAACTTGGTATCATTTGTGAAATATTAAGTATCGTAACTGATTAGGTAGTCAATGGTTTTCGAGAGAGAATTGTAGGTTTGTATTAGGAAATAGAAAAAAATGAATTGGCCGAAAAAGTTAGAAAAAAGAGAAATGTTATTTTAAAAAAGTTTTAAAATTGTTGAAAAAATTGAGAGAAAAGTTGAATTGATTATTTTTATTTGTTGAAATGAGTTTGAAAAAAGCATTTGAAAAATGATTTGCTTTGTCGAATTTTCTTAAGTTTTCGGAGTTGAAACCAAGTGTCGTCGAACTTTTTATTGATTTTGAGAAGTCGGTTGGATATGGGGAGTTTTTGGTGAAAAAACACCAAAAATGGGTATTTAGCTGTTAACTTTCTAAGTCTTGTTTTTCGTTGTAGGATGAATAGGGGACTTTGGGAAGTAGGTCGGCTTAAGGCTAGGTGGTCATGTCGATTTTATCTTTAGGCTAGATCTTTATTTTTCTCTGGGGGAATTATTGGGAATAAGTTGAGACAATTTTGTTGATTTTTATGCTGATTGATAGAAGAGGATTGCACATTTTATATGATACTTAGTTGAGTTGTCAAAAAGAAGGGTAGTGCTTTCTTGTGACATTGAGCAAGTTAGAGTTTCAGTTCTAGTTCAAGCCGGAGATATGTCGGCTGATAAAAGTGGTGGCGTTTAGAGAAAAATACGATGATTTCAATCCAATTTATTTGGTTGATTTTGAACTTGTTTTCACGAGGAGAATGAATAGTTGTAATTAACAATTAATTTAAGGCTTTGCTAAAAAAGTTATTTATGTTATTTATTTAATCAGGAGGGTTTCTGAAATTCTGCTTTCTGTAGTTTTTTAGAGCGTGGAATAAAGGTTTTAAAATCTTTCTTGCTTGATTTCTAAGACGAGATGATTGACGTTGCTTAGAAAAAATGATTTTCAATCGAAGAAGTCTTGTCTTCTTTTACCCATTTGCTTTAAGATTTTTAAGAGTTTTTTCGATGTCTTTTTACTTTGCAAGTTCTTCTTGCGTAATCACAAGGATGCATCGTATAAGTGACTTTCAAAACCCTGATTTTTAAGACTATAGACAGTGAAGTTGGATTTTCTTTTATTCAAAGAAAAGAACTCAACCTAATAAAATTAGAAGTCTAACGGCAAAAAAAGACCAAAAGTTAGCATGAACAAAATTCAACACTTTTCCTGAAGAAAAATAGAAAAAAATCATCGCGAGCTTTTTACGCGTATTTACTGCGTTGGTCTACACTTAAAAATTGAAAAGTCATGAAACTATGCAGCCAATTAATACGAAATTTATGTATTAGCTTGAAAATCATGAAAATTCTTTATTCGTAACTTATCCAGGGCGACTTTAAACTAAAACAAATTTTCGTTTGCAAAAAATGAAAAAGAGGAGAAGTTAAATCAATCAGGCAACTTGTTATTAAATAAAAATGAGTTCTAAATTGCACCTGTCCCTAATCCCGTTTTCCAGCTTAAATGGCTACTCCATTTGGAAATATACGCTCACAGCGAACTGTTAAATCTTAAGAACGCTACCTTTAGAAACAGCTTTGAACGAGTTTAATTTCTTATTTCATTCATTCAACATCTTTGAGCTCAATTTATTAACAAGCTTAAATTTTTTTTACAAGTTCCCAAGGAAAAAAGAAACGAAATAGTTGTATTTATAATGAATCTTGCATTTGAGTGTACTAAAACTGTTAAAATTTCCATGAGCTGCCTTTTTTGAACTGCTAGTGGAAAAACAACTTTCACTGTAATTTTTCCCAGACCAAGTACATCTCTGCCTCAAACTAATACCTCAAACTTTTTTACAACTCTTGTTTATTTCCCTATTTGTCGAAGAATGGACCGGCCGGTTCCCCCTCAGTGTGACATGAATGAAGACTGTGCTGGGGGTACAGAGGAAGAGTGTTGCAGCAATGGCTTTTGTTGTGAAAGCATCTACAGAGACAGAGAGAACGCGGATACACAAAAAGACCAGTTAGGGTGAGAAGACCAGCGGCTCAAAATTAAGCAATTAATTTTCATACACCAAACGATTTCTAAATTTTGCCCAATCTAAGAAAACAACTTTAACAAAACAACACTAAGCATTATTGTTTTGTTGCAATACATCAGCTAACAAATCACCAGTTAAGTATAACAACAGGAAGCTTTTTTAGTTTTTTTTTTTAATATCCCAGAATAAGAAAGTAGATTTTTCAGGTGCTGAAAATTAAGATAAAAAAATCTTAGTGTTTCGGGACATCTGCAAAAATCAATTTGAGCAACCTAAAAGGTTTGGACTAGAACTTGGTATTTTAAAAACCTTCCACCGCTTGCAAAAATCCTATAGCTGTCCCAGTAAAATATCCAAGTTTTCAACTACATTCGAAATTTTTGAAAAAAAACTGATATTATCTCTCCAAGTCTGCTCATACTGCTAATTTTTTATCTACCAGACTTCGAGAGATAATATCAGTTTTTTATTTGAAATTTTCGAATGTAGCTGAAAAATTTGAATCTCCTTCTGAAATAGTAAATGATTTTACTTGTTCAATGAAAATTTCATTAACGAAATCATACTATACTGCTAATTTTATGTACTAGTATGATAATTAGCAGTATGGTATGAGTTTGTTGTTGATACTTTCATAGAACTAGTAAAATCATTGTTTAACTCATACGATGATATATTTCTTATCCAATGAGACACAAAGGCCGATCGGCTCTTTGCACCAATTGCAAAATATCAGCATCTCAGCTTCGAAAGCTAGCCTGCAGAAAACATATATGGAAGCTAAGTGAAAAAAGATTTTAAAAATTCTCGGAAAATTATCAAAAAACAGGTCTATCAAAAATGTCATACTTTTGTCTGAAATCAAATTCGTTTTGAAGAAATCGTGTCAAGAAAGACGATTTCTAGCAGTCAACAGCTAAGTTGCATGACTAAAGCAAAAGTTTTTGATACAGACTTGCGTACAACATATATGTAAGGTCACCCTTGTCAAAATGACTAGTTTTAACACATCGAAAAAAGTCGTGTTCCTGGTTACAAGACAAGTGTTCTGACAGGTGTAGAAACCGGGGTAAAATACAATTTATTCCTTCCGTGGAATTCTTAAAATTACGGTTGCGCAACTTTCCCAACTTCTCCAAATTATTTCAATGACCGTCTTGTTTTTTCAAATTCAAATAGTTCAAAGTTATTGATCAAAGTTTTTATAAACAAAAAAACGATACCAATTATATAAAGTAGCCCCAAAAAGGTGCTGGTTGCTGTGCAACTTGCACGAAGGTCCCGGCAAACTACTTGTAAGAAGATTTGTTAATTTTCAAGTTTCAAGTTTTTCTGCGTTAGAAGCTGGGTACTAAACGCAGGCTTGATAAACTAGTTGTGGCTTTCTTCAGCCACAATTATCTCTCGTAAATAGTTTTTATAAATTATCAAAATATTGTTCAACTTTTTGGCTGCTTTTAGCAATTTTGAAATTTTCGTGCCAAGAAAACGCAAGAGGAACCTCCAAAATTAGCATTTTCTGCAGCTTTATTGCAGTTTTTTGATATGTTCACACAGCTTGGTTGTCGAAAATATGACCTAAACTTTCTAAGCATTTGCTCTGTTGTTTGAGAAAACTTGCTGAATTGAAAAAATTTATCAATTCACGACATATTAGATGTGGATAAAATATATCTTCTGAATTTATTGGATCAAATTTACTCGATATAAATGGTTTTGGTTCAAAAACGTTTAGCTTACACACGCGTGAACACGCATTGATCCCGTTTCAGTTGTCAATCAAAAAAAGTTTCAAGCGCTTAACACTTTTTTCCCGAAAACTTGAGAACCTAGTCTTAAACCTGTCTTAATTCAATTTAACTTCAGCAGATCGGAAATTAAATGATTTTCTACTTCAATTTGTCCTAAAACCCGGTAAAACATTGAAAGAAAAAGAATTCGTTTTGAGATTTATTTTACGCAGGTGACGGCCCTCTAAACCAAAAAATTTAAAAGATAATTTGGTCCTACAGTGCTGATTTAAATTATCCGGACAAAATGAACAAAACTTGAATTTTCAAACGCGTTTTTCTCAAATTGGGTTAAGATTAGACAAAAAGTGAAGAGAACAAAAGTTGCTTAGAATTTCACCAGAGTTAATATGGTGCCAATTTTTCTTTGTTAATTGATAAGAAAATTTTATCACAGGAAGCCTCTTACGCAGTTCAACAAAGTTTAACAAGGGTTAAGTCTCCAAAAACCAGTATAGGAGAAAAAATTTTCTCTTGATAGTCAAAAAATGTGATTTTTACTATATAAAACTCAGAATCTCTATTCAAAAATAAATTTTAAACAATTTGCGCAATGAGGCTTATGTACTGTGCAAATTGTGTAAGAGGCAAACAAGTGTGTAAGAGGCTTATTAAACTTTGTTGAACTGTGTAAGAGGCTTACTGTGATGTAATTTTCTCATCAATTAACAAAGTAGTTTCAGCGTAATTCTTGATTAATTGAAAAAAGCATCCGAATAATTAGCCTACTCAAGATATGAATTATCGTTCTCATGAATCGCTCGAAAAGGCATTAATTTTCAAGACTTGATTGATTGATTGATTTATCGGAAATTGTTCATAATAAATATAATTGACGTCTTGATGGAAGGAAAAGGCAACTAATAGGACGATTTAAGATTGAATGACTAAGCAGTCATTCTGATCGGAAATCTCGGTTCATAGCGAGGAGCTCTTATGCCAGACTTGCGGGAACGAACTCATTAGAGCCAAAAAAAACATCTGGACGGCCGCCAAAACTATCAAAACTATAATGAGAAACGTCCTTAAAGGCCCACTAGACATCACTAGAACGCAACAAAGTAAGCTAGAAATCATTTGCATCAGATATAAAACACTAAGTCGCTCCATCACTGTGTTTTTGCTTGAAAAAGCGCCAAAAACTCAGCATTGGACAAAAACAGAAAGCACATCGTTTCAAATACAGTGCTGATTTAAATTATCCGGACAAAACGAAAAAAACTTGAATTTTCAAACGCGTTTTTCTCAAATTGGGTTAAGATTAGACAAAAAGTGAAGAGAACAAAAGTTGCTTAGAATTTCACCAGAGTTAATATGGTGCCAATTTTTCTTTGTTAATTGATAAGAAAATTTTATCACAGGAAGCCTCTTACGCAGTTCAACAAAGTTTAACAAGGGTTAAGTCTCCAAAAACCAGTATAGGAGAAAATGTGATTTTTACTATATAAAACTCAGAATCTCTATTCAAAAATAAATTTTAAACAATTTGCGCAAATTTTTGGAGATGTAATCCTTATTAAACTTTGTTGAACTGTGTAAGAGGCTTACTGTGATGTAATTTTCTCATCAATTAACAAAGTAGTTTCAGCGTAATTCTTGATTAATTGAAAAAAGCTAAAATGACCCATTTTTGGAGTAAAACTTTTGTTGAAAATTTCGGAGAAAAATGGCACCATATTAATTCTGGTGAAATTCTAAGCAACTTTTGTTCTGTTCACTTTTTGTCTAATCTTAACCCACCTTGAGAAAAACGCGTTTGAAAATTAAAGTTTTGTTCGATTTGTCCGGATAATTTAAATCAGCACTGTATTTTAATTAAATTTCAACACCGGATATAAAGTAATCAGCAAATTCAGTTTGACCTAATAAATGGTAAAACGATGAAATGGTGGATTCGTTTTCACATTTAATCTTTGCAGCTCACCGTCCTATAAGCTGAACATTGTAAAGCAAAGCTAACAAACATTGCAAAAATGTCAATGAAAGCAACAAAATTGAGAAAAATATTAAATTGTTTTGGAAAAAACTCAATTTTTAATAAAAATAAAAATAGTGCCTTTTTTATTTAAGTATCAAAGAAGGCTATGGCTGAGTTTTTTAATCAATCTAACAAAAATGGATTGAAAACGGACAATAACGGATCGATGGGTCAGCATTTTTTTTCTGGGGCACCTTGACAGTGGGAAACAAAATCCAATTTAAAAACTAGAAGTTGAAAATTGTCTTCCATTAACAAATAAAATTGAACTTAAAAAACCAATGGTCAAACAGCAAAAAATAAAAAATTAAGCTTTTGAAGACTTTTTTATGG